GTCGATTTCTGTAAGCCCTTCTTGAGTTCTTCTTTTGCCGGATAGGTCTAACACATCCCCAGTCCAATGGGAGCGGTTGGAAATGTGCGAGATGGCCAAAGCTTCCGAGATTTCTAAGAATGTCTGGCAAGGGCCGACGCCTGATTACATATTCCAATCCGGATCAGGCGACTCCGCGGATGTCGAAGATTTTGACCTTTTGATTGAGACAAGTGATCTCGCCAGCATCCCTGGCCCTAGATATCTGGCTAAACTCAACAGGCAGCTGGATGACAATGAAGGTCCTCTGCGGCTAGAATTTCCGTCTTCCGGGTCACTTGTCGTCCCATCCGCTGAAACAAGAGAGGTAGACGACCTTGTAAGCACTATACGATGGATCTATTATCTAGCGAACCCAGAGGAGCCGGAATCGCCAACAGATGTTGATGGAGATTTTGCCATGGTATCTCTTCGACGGAAGCCTCGCAAGATCCTTATCCACTGTCCAGACGGCTATACTGAAGCTTCACTATTGGTCATCGCTTACTTGATGTTCGCTGAAGGTATACCGGCTCATGAAGCATGGCTGCGACTTCACTGCGACAGGAAGCGTAATTTCTTCGCATACCCGTCTGATGTCACTTTCCTGAGCAGCATTCAAACAAGACTTTTGCATGAGAGTCCTGCGACGCAATCAGATAGCCTCTCCAGCGTTCCAGATCCGCCATGGTTCCGGTACTGTGATGGATCACTTCCCAGTCGAATTCTCCCATATATGTATCTTGGCAATTTGGGCCACGCCAACAATCCTGAAATGCTCTGGGCTCTTGGAATTCGGCGCATTCTGAGCATTGGAGAGTCAGTTTCATGGAGAGATTTTGACATTGCTCGGATGGGGCCAGAGAACGTGATGCATATAACTCAGGTTCAAGACAATGGGATAGATCCGTTGACTCAGGAATTCGACCGATGCTTGGAATTCATCAGTGAGTTTTGATTGGTTCCCCTGAATTTTTTTTTGATAAGGCTCACCAGTCAATTCTTCCAGGGAAAGGGAAGCAGGATGGAGCAGCCACATTGGTCCATTGCCGAGTTGGAGTCTCTCGATCAGCAACAATCTGTATTGCCGAAGTGATGGCTTCTCTGAATCTATCTTTCCCGAGAGCATAGTAAGCCAAGCTCTACCCCTGTCCGTGGAAAATGGACTATCACGGACGACAGACCTTTGTTGACTTTTATGCCTTTAGCTGCTTCGTTCGTGCCCGAAGACTCAATGTTATCATTCAGCCTCATCTGCGTTTCGTGTAAGCAACTCCCTACACCCCGAGTTACTCAGCAAAAGCAACGCCCCTGGTCCACTTCACGTATGATCGCATCAATGGCTGACAGAATGCCTCAGATATGAGCTTCTTAAGTGGGAGGAGCAGCTACTGCAGAGACGCAACAAGCCCATCAAGAGAGAACTCGAATGGGCCTCAATAGCCAGGGAAATTGCGTTGATGAATAAACCATACTCAAGATAATTGCAACACGACATACATCTGATGCCAACCTGCAAATATGCGGCATCCTCCTGACCTGCGCGAATAGTTGTCCCTCTCCGTCAGGGTCTGCTTCTAGGCACTTTCCTGACAGGATTTTGACCTGTTCTGATAGTGACGAAGATTTACGCTTTGATGACGAATTTAAACGGACTGCATGAGATGAATGGAAACATGGTGAGATAAGCGAAGGATTTCTTCAATTGTTCTGGCGTTCTTGGGGTTTAAAGTGACGAAGCCATGAGTTGCCATGAGTTTCCTATCGACGCACGATACATGTGTCATTGATTTTCTTTTCTTCTTGCCTCTTTTTAGCAGGCACACTGGATTCTTGCATGACTGCCTTGTCTTCAAGACTGTTTATTCTACATACCAAGCTTTGCGCCTTGGACGTTGATTATCTAATTCTTTTACTCTCTTTTCTCTTCAATTGTATCTCTATCTAGTTGACTCGTCGATGCACAAACTCAAGGGTTTTTTCCTCAATCGAGTCATGTTCTAATAATGAGATTTTGGCTGCAGAGTGTATATCATACAAAAGCTTGCGTCTGCATCTGCGCCAGATGCTCTCCAGAAGCTCTTGAGAAGGCGTTAGATATCCGTTGTATCCAGGCGTAGCGTTAACACCTCTCAAACACACGATATAGACCTTTAAGATCCGCAACTTCGACCACGCCGCGGAGAAGCCGTGTGGTAGCAACCAGACGAGCCCGGAGCGCTGGGAAAACAACATGCTCCAGCATCCGAGCTATCTGCAATCGACGGCGCTTCAAAGCTGCATCTTCCTCCTGCCCTTCCGACGACTCTGGATTCTCCTTGTCGTCTGAAGCAGCATTTGACCCTTCATGCAGGGGAGGAGGTAGTTGTTCCGGCGTGTAGAAAGCCGCAAGCTCCCTCAAAAACGTCCGGAAACATTCTTCTTCGCTTGTCCAGTCGACGTACGGGCCGAGCCTTAACAGGAAACGCGGTAATTTGCCCAATGACGGGAGGTAGCCTTTCAGTAATAGGGGAATTGTGAGAAGGTCGCCCTCTGCGGAGATCTGAAGAGAGAAGTACTCGTTCAACATCTCTCGTCTGTCGATGAGTGTTCTTGCGACTATGTCCGGTGCATTGGCAAAGGTCTCACTTTCTTCTGCCATGCTCGTTTTCTCAGGCTGTGTTGTCTGTTGGCTCGAGCCGGGGCCTGAGGCAGCGAGATGTGCTTCTCGCTCCAAGTCTGCTCCAATTCGAAGCAGATCCACCAGCTTCGGCGCTGGGTCGAGTTTGATGATGCCGAAATTGCCGAAATCCGTGAGACCTATCTGGTAGAAGAACTCACTGCATATCATGCCGTAATCAACCAGGTAGAGCTTCACTCCTGACTGTATAGCGGCGATGCGCCGCCGTTCGTCGACTAGGCCGACGTATGTATGCGACGCGATCATCTCTGTTAGATTGTTGTGCATTGTAGACCGGACGGCGGCGCGGAGATTCTTGACTGACGTCAGGGCAATACGAAGGGGTTCGCGGTCTGTAGTCTCGTACTGCAATCCCTCTTCAACTACTTTAGAGGGGTCGGGTTCCGCCTCAGCACCAGAGGGCGTTTGGGATATCGCAGGCGGTAGCATTGATGTGATTTTGCGGACTCTTGAGTCCGTACGCACGAGGCTATGCTCATATGGCTTCTTTGTTGGAGCAGGTGTTTTAGGAGCTTGGCCGTCGCCTTCACTTGACGGACCAGCGGCTGGATTGTTGCGATTCAGCGGCTCGATTGTCGTGACCCCAGGAAGAAGTGTTTGCGTGAGAAAGGTCCGGCTGGAATCCACTTGGGCCAGCTTAGATCTTATCTCATCGCAGATAGATTCGATAATCTCGTCCTCGTTCAGGAAGTTTACCTCGCGTTTGGTTGGGTGCACGTTGACGTCAACACGTTGTGGCTCAATTTCCAGGTCAATATACACAAATGGGTGTCCGCCCTTGGGCAGAAAACTTGAATAGGTTTGCTCTACTGCGCGCTTTATCGCACTGGACTCGACAGAGCGGTGGTTGATGAAAAGGAGGATGGTTGTCCTCTTGACATGGTAGTTTGCGTTCGTGACCAAGCCCGAGGAGCGAAAACCGAGCTTTGAATCCTCAACTTGAAATTCAACAAGTTCATTGGCGACGGCACTACCATGAATCTGGCGAATTCGATCGACAGTGTTCGCTGCCGCAGGTGTTGAGATGCCAGCACCAGACTCGCCGTGTTTTCGACATGAGAACGCTATCCCAGAGCAGTGAACGGCGTACCGGCCAACAACATCGAGGATTTTGGCGTACTCCTCGCTCGCAGATCGGAAGGCTCGGCGTCTTGTAGGAACATTATAGAATAGATCCTCAACCTGTTCCAGTCAGGGATGTTCTTAACCACCGAAGTTAATTCGACTCACTGTTATCTGCGTACCACCACGCCCCGCTGTGGCTTTCGGGGCGGCGCTCTGTCCAGGTTTAGGAGGAACGAGTTTCCCATCACTATAGTGAGCTCTCCACGCACAGCTAGAACCAGCCGTCTTGGTAGTCACCGTGAGATGAGCGATATGGCTGATACTAGCGAGTGCTTCGCCTCGGAAACCATAAGTTCCGATGGAAGAGAGGTCTTCGAATTGCTTCAGTTTCGAAGTCGTAAATCTCTCGCACAGGATGGGGAGGTCATCCCGCTGCGCGCCAACATTAGTAACCCCCTCTAAATCTTGATTTCTCAGGGGGTGCTCACGTCAATGCCATGCCCGTTGTCGGTAATCTGAAGTAGTTTGAGACCGCCATCTTTGACTAAGACCTCAATAGACGTAGAGCCAGCGTCAACTGCGTTCTCTATAAGCTCTTTCAAGGCATGCATGGGGGCTACAATAATCTCCCCAGCAGCGATTTTATTCACCACATCGGGATCAAGAGGCTTTCATTCTCGATTAGTCGAACGATTCAATAGTCTGCTGGGTGGCACGGGTGCACTGACTCTGATTCTTTTAGGCCTCGCCGTTGCTTCTGTGTCTTCAGCGGGACGCTTAGTGCCTCGCGATTCAGGAGCATCCACGTCCATCGCAGGATCCATGGCATAAGAAATGACTGCTGATATTGGTTCAAGGCACCAAGCGTGTTGCGATTTAATGGCTTCGGTCTACAAACGGCAACATGACCTAATTGTGGAGATGCAACCCAGATAATCCGTTAGAATAGCGAATCTGGATAGACTGTATAACCATCAAGTCTTTCGGATGGTAAAAGCTGATGACTGTGGCCAATAATAGCCAGTTATGGGTGTTGATTGAAGACACTTTCTAGTATGGCTTGCGGAGATCGCGCCGGTGGAGTATCCGCTCCAACTAACAGCGGAATCTCCAACGCCCGCAAGCAGCTATCAATTGTGTCCTTATCACGACCACAGCAACTCGACCATCTTTCCTCCTCCAATGCTCTCCTCGATTTCTGAAGCTCCTTCGGGGCTATCTCTCATATGTGCACAGTATGCTGCCATCAAAACGGCCGTATTTGGCTGATGAAGAGCTCGGAAAGAAAGATGACGACCACCGACCTGGAACTGGCCGAAAGCCGCTCTCGCGAGCAAAGCAATGGAGAGCGCCTCGACCACGCCGGCTCATAGTAGGAATTATCGTCCTCTACTTAGTATACTTGTTTTTTAAGAATATGCCCACGGATGTGCGTCCCGCAGTTGAACGATTCAACCCAGGCTTCACGCAAGCACGGCAGGGCAGTGGAAAGTCATGGCCGCCCGCAATGCCTTCGCCGGTTACTCCTGCAAAAGGGCCCCCTCCGCGTCCAGATTCTCAGACAAATATCAAGGAGGATTTTTACTACGAAGGCGAAATAAGATTTAATGCTTTAGCGAGGACCTTGCAACGTTTCTGGAAGCCGCCCACTCGCCATGGCAGCTCCATTAGTCGTGCCGTTGTGTTTGCTGGCTCAAACCTGCGGAGCGTTTCCGATCTTCTGCCTCTCGCATGCCGAATGGCCGACCAGAAGATAAATGAAGTCCATTTTGTGCTGATGGGGAGAGATGATGTGTCCGTTGAAGGCATACAACGTGTCAATGGCATAAAAGAAGTTGGCTGCCCAATCGTCTGGCATGGTGTGTTTGGTCATAAATAGATTCATCGGAGCGGTGTGCTGACATTCTTGGTATTACAGATAGTCGACCTGATTATGCTCAATGGTCTACTGAGGCTCGCATGGAGAGAGCTGTGACGGCTGGTTTGGACTACGTCCTTGTTTATACCCGTGCGCAGGTTCTCATTACCCAAGGAGAGTCTTGGGAGGATCGGTTCTTCACAGAAGGTGTTCGAAGGATGATTAGCAAGTCTAAGATAACGCACATCGCACTACCGACTGCTGCGAGGAATATCATGTGGATATCAATGTTGGATAGCGATGCTCTCAAAGGTGATCTTACCACTGTGTGGCATTTTCTTCTACATGCGAATGTATAACTGACATCTTGCTTAAAAGCATGGAATGACGTTCACGTCGAGATACTCATACAAGCACCTTCCGAGTCATCTGGTTCCTTAATCCGCTTAATTCGATCCTTGGAAGCTGCAGATTACCTCGGGTCAACTCCAAGCCTGACTATTGAGCTGCCTCCTCGCGTTGATCCACAGCTCCTACACTTCCTCCAAAAGTTGAAATGGCCTCCTCAAACTTCAAGCACCGTCACTCTTCGCCGCCGTATACAGCCACATTATTTGACTCCAGTCGAAGCTTCTCTGAGAATTGTGGAGGCTTTCTATCCCAGAAACCCTAACGTAACGCATGTGCTCTTATTGGCCCCAGAGACCGAGCTGGCGCCTTCTTTCTACCATTTTTTGAAGTATACTACGTTGAAATATAAGCATTCGGCTCAAACCAAGCGCACCGCTTCCAAATTACTGGGAATTTCGCTCGAGCTTCCCTCATCACGACCCACAGATAACGAGCCTTTCACGCCACCAAAAGTTAAGAAAGAACTCCAGAAATCACAGCAGCTAGGCCGCGAGGAGCTTCCTGTCTTTTTATGGCAGGCTCCAAACAGCCATGCGGCCTTGTATTTTGGCGATGGATGGGCCGACCTACATTCTTTCCTCACCGACCGCCTCGCTCTACACCAGCCCACATCTGAGAAGTCTACTGACGAGAAATCTATCTCAAAACGATATCCTGCTGTAATGGAGTATCTACTCGAGCTAATTCGAGCTCGGGGTTATTACCTGCTTTACCCAGCGTTCCCCGACCGAGGCACTTTTACTCTTGCAACAGTTCATAGCGAGCTGTCTCGGCCACCTGAAGAATTCCTACACGACGATCAAGCAGACTCGACTACGACTCTTGGGTCATCCATTAACCAACTTTCTGTGGAAAAGCCCCTGGACCAGACATCGACATTAATGCCGCTTCTTGAGCGCTTCTCCCTCGCTTTGCCGGACCTGAGCAGTTTGCCTCTTTTGTCATACCGTGGCGAGGAAATATCAGAACTAATGTACTCGCAAGACACCGAGGAATACGCTAAGAAGTTTGCTATCAGTTATGGCGGCTGTCGAGAGAGTGACTTGACAGATGGCTCGACCTTGACGAGATTGTTCTGTCTGCATGAGCGAGCGGACGGAGAGTAGAGTATGTATCATATGAACTTGTTCAATCATCCTATAATTGACTCAAGTACGGACAAAGTTCATTTGGGTAGTTGGAATCGTGTAGTCTAATTATACCCCGTGTTCCTCTTCAGTTCGAGGTCTTTCTCGTTTAGAATCCAGCATTGACATCATGTTTCCTCCATTACTAAGCGATGTGTATCGCACCACGACAATGAGTGCATACAAATGCTCCCTTTCTCTAGGCTATGGACATTGGCATATTCAAGTTTAGCAATTCCATAACAACATCCAGATCAACCTGTTTGCCATTTAGATATCGCTCCTGAAAAGCGAATTTGTCATATCATATCTCGGCGGTGAAGTAGCCTTACATAAGCGACAGGAAGCTCCACTGTAGCGCAACGCCTAAGCGGCGATGAGCGTGAGCTCTCTTGCTTTCCATCAACAAGCTCCGGATTCGCTCTCTGCTCCATCCATCAGTGTGCAGAGATCTCATTAATACGCTGCCTGCTGCTGTATCTGAGATTATAAGCAGCTTCTACGAATCTCTCCATCCTACCTTTTTACCTTCCTTACTCAAACCGAGACCAACTCGCCAGGTACCCCGTCAGAAATGGCGAAAGAAGGCGAGAGGTCAGCTCCCGCCGACAAGGGCAAAGGCAAGGTTGATGATGTGAAGGATTTGCCCGGAGCGAAGAAGACACAGAACGATGAGAAGCCACAAGCGAATGGAAAAAAGAAGGAGGAGGAGTCGAAGGAGGGTATGTCATAATCCACCCATAGAATCGCTAGGCCGCCGTCCCGAACGCCGTCTTTGCTACAACAGAAGGGTTAACGCTCGGGTTATTTTAGAGGAACTCAGTGAAGAAGATCAGCAGCTGAAGAGCGAGCTTGAGATGCTCGTTGAGAGATTAAAGGTATAAGATCGAGCTGAAATCTCAATTTGTTGGCCGATGACGTTAACCCTTATGTCTCGTCTTCATCAGGAACCGGATACGTCTCTCTACGCTCCTGCCTTAGATGCGATCAAGAATTTCATAAAGACCTCGACTTCTTCTATGACCGCTGTACCCAAACCACTCAAATTTCTGAGACCGCACTACGATGAACTGACAGAGCTCTACGAGAAGTGGTCGGCAGGCGCTGTCAAGGTTGGTTAACCTGCAAATCTCGTCTGGGTTGAAGCTTTTTCCTGATACAATGGTTTTTCGATTTAGGACTCACTGGCGGATATGCTGTCTGTTCTCGGGATGACGTACGGGGATGAGGAGAAGCTCGAGACGCTCAAGTATCGCCTTCTCACCAAGGCAGATGATCTCGGCTCATGGGGTCACGAATATATTAGGCATCTGGCTTTGGAGATTGGCCAAGAGTACCAAAACAGGTTGAACGCAGAGAAAGATGTACAGGACCTGATCGATCTCACATTGTCGCTTGTCCCCTACTTCCTGAGTCATAATGCCGAAGCCGATGCTGTTGACCTCCTTAGTGAGCTGGAAATCATTGAGGAGATCCCCCGCTTTCTCGACGAGAACACTTACTCGAGAGTCTGTCTGTATATGGTCAGCATGGTTAACCTCCTCACCTATCCTGAAGATCAGCAGTTCCTCCGGACGGCACATGAGATCTATGTCCGCTACAAGGAGCTCACAAAAGCAATCGTACTTGCCATTCGACTGAACGACACGGATCTTATCAAGAGTGACATCAATGCTACTTCTGATCCAGTACTCAAGAACCAAATGGCTTTCCTGGTCGCCAGGCAGCAAATTTGGCTTGATATGCCCGAAGAAGAGGAGAACACATCCTTCATGGACTGTCTCAATAATACATCGATCTCTAAGCATCTCAAATCGCTGGGCAAAGAGCTTGATATTCTCGAACCCAAAAATCCAGAGGACATTTACAAGACGCACCTGGAAAGCAGCCGAGGCGCTGGTTTGACAAATGTTGACTCTGCGAGACATAATTTGGCAAGCGCGTTTGTGAACGCTTTTGTCAATGCTGGGTTTGGTAAAGACAACCTGATGCTAGGAGAGGATGACAAGGGAAGTTGGATCTGGAAGACAAAGGATGATGGCATGCTGTCGACAACGGCTTCTTTCGGCATGCTCTTGTCGAAGGACACCGACTCTGGCTTGGACAGAATTGACAAGTTTACCTATGCCACCGAAGAGCAAATCAAGGCTGGTGCTTTGCTGGGCACAGGTATGATCGGTTCCGGCGTGCGATTAGAGGCGGACCCCGTTCTGGCTCTCTTGGGCGATCCCGAAGTGTGGCAAGAAAAGAGCGTACCGGTCAGGGTTGCTGCCATCATGGGTCTTGGTTTGGCCTACGCTGGCTCCAATAAGGAGGAGCTCCTGGAAATCCTGCTTCCCGTCGTTGAAGATGTCTCTTTGGATATGCAGCTTTCGGCAATGGCGGCTGTCTCACTAGGACTGATTTTCGTTGGCTCTTCGAATCATCAAGTCAGCGAAGCCATTGCTACGACCTTGATGGATGAGGAGCGACAGAAGCATCTGAAAGATAAATGGACACGCTTCATGGCTCTTGGTTTGGCCCTACTGTACTTCGGCCGCCAGGAGGAGGTCGACGTCATTCTCGACATTCTAAAGGCCGTCGACCACCCAATGGCCAAGCCGACCTCCGTTCTTGCCTCGGTCTGTGCCTGGGCAGGAACTGGCACGGTGTTGAAGCTGCAGGAGCTTCTCCACATTTGTAATGACCTTATTGAAGAGAATGATGAGAAGAAAGGAGATGAACTTGTCCAATCCTACGCTGTCTTAGGTCTGTCTCTCATCGCTATGGGCGAGGAAGTAGGACAGGACATGATTCTCAGACAGTTCGGTCATCTTATGCACTACGGTGCCAGCAACATCCGAAAGGCGGTCCCACTTGCAATGGGTCTGATCAGCCCCAGCAACCCACAGATGAAGGTCTACGATACACTGTCGCGGTACAGCCATGACAATGACAATGATGTGGCCGTCAACGCGATCTTCGCCATGGGTCTGTGTGGAGCGGGTACCAATAATGCCCGTCTTGCGCAGTTGCTGAGGCAATTAGCAAGCTACTACCACCGTGACCAAAACTCATTATTTATGGTCCGCATCGCCCAGGGTCTCCTTCACATGGGTAAGGGCACGATGACCCTGAACCCGTTCCACACCGACCGCCAAGTTCTTTCCCGTGTATCAGCCGCTGGCCTACTCACTGTCGTTGTATCTTTGATCGACGCCAAACAATTCATCCTTGCCGAACATCACTACCTCCTGTACTTCCTTATCACCGCCATGTACCCACGATTCCTCGTTACGCTTGACGAGGACCTCCAACCACTCACGGTGAACGTACGTGTGGGTCAGGCTGTGGATGTGGTTGGCCAGGCCGGTCGTCCCAAGACGATCACCGGCTGGCAAACACAGAGCACACCTGTTCTTCTGTCCTACGGTGAAAGAGCAGAACTGGAGGATGAGCAATACATTCCCCTTAGCAGCACCCTTGAAGGCCTTGTGATCTTACGAAAGGTAAGCTCCCGAATGATGCTTCCGTTGGAATTTCTTAATTCTTCCTGACTAATTGCCATGATTTAGAACCCCGATTGGCAAGAGAATTCCGCTTGATTGAAACGATGATTCGTAACACTTCTTTTGCAAGTTGGGCCGGGTGCGGGGGCAACCATATAGCGACCGATGAGGTTAGATTTAATGTATTTGACACCGAATCGACAAATAACATGCCACGATCTACTTCTAGACTATAAGCGACTGCGTGGCTCTGAATGTGACTTAACAAGTAACTGGGTCGCGCGGAGGCGGATCGTATACAATTATAGATAAATCCGAGGGCAGCAAAGGCGAATAGTCTTTTTTCATGGACTGCGCGATTTACATCGGGTGTGGTTCCAGTCATGAGAAAACAATTATTGCTCTATAAGTACTTAGAGCCCTTTGTGGACAATCAATGCAGACTATCGCGTTGTTAATGGTGCCTTGTAAAAGACTATGTAACCAGGGAAGCGCTCAAAGAGGAAAGTAGGGTATAGGGCTTCCAGCATGTAACTTTTTCCGCCATGATATCCGCAACAACAGCAGATGATAGAGAGACTGCTCGAACAATCTCTTTATTTCACATTCATAAAATCGCTTTTATCACTCTCTACGGACAAGAATGAAGCTCGATCCCAAAGCAATTCGATACCTTACTTCCGAGGATTTCCGCGTTCTCACTGCGGTATGCCTGACCTTTGCCCCGCCTTTGCTGCTTCTCATCACAGCTCGTTGTCTGACAGCTAACAAGAGTTCTACATAGGTGGAAACAGGAAGTAGAAATCATGAAGTCGTACCGACGCCCTTGATCGTACAACTCTCAGGCCTCCGGGGCGGCAGTGGAGTCCATCGGGCTATCTCCAACCTGGCTAAGACTAATTTGATCGCGAAAGTGAAAAATGCGAAATGTACAGTTATTCGCACCTTGGTAGTGATATACATTGACTAAATGTCTTTGCTAATTTTATTCTGCATTCAGATGATGGCTACCGGCTCACTTACGGAGGTCTCGACTACCTGGCGCTGAACGCTCACCAGAAGCAGAAATGCATCTACTCCGTCGGAAACCAGATCGGTGTGGGGAAAGAGTCAGATATCGTCGTCGTCGCGAACAGTAAGGGAACACAATGCATCTTGAAGATCCATCGCCTGGGCCGCATTTCCTTCCGAACAGTCAAGACCAACAGAGACTACCTGCGCAACCGGAGTACAGGTTCATGGATGTACATGTCGCGATTGGCGGCGATGAAGGAGTTCGCTTTTATGAAAGCTCTTCGAGAAAACGGGTTCTCAGTACCCGAACCTATTGCGCAGAACAGACACACGATCGTCATGAGCTTGATCGACGCATTCCCGCTACGACAGATTTCGAGAGTCCCCAAGCCTGCGTTACTGTATTCGGAGCTTATGGATACGATCATGGAGCTTGCTCGGTTTGGCCTTATTCACGGTGACTACAACGAGTTCAAT